AAAAAAGTATATATATATATATATATATATATATATATATATGCATGCACAGATGCATATATAAAAAAAGATCATAACATGCATTTAGAAGATAGATAAGATTTTCATTTCATGCTGACTTTCTCTTTCACTTTCTAATGTGTTTCAGCCAGATGCTACCTGTTTTTGAAGTTATTTAGCCAGAGCTATGTTTAATTTTTTCAATATTTGAATAATTAAAGTAGGCATGTTAAACTCACCAGGAGGCCCTCTGACCTTCTCACCTTTTCCACCACTCATGAATTTGAATCCCTGAAGGTATAAATTTGGCCTTGACAGTATAAATTATGATGACTAACTCACAAATATCTTAAGAACATTACTTGTGTTCCTTCGTTTATTAAAAGCAGACAGTCCATTCAAATACAGTATTTCAAACCACTACAGAGCCAGTTCATGCTAAACAGCTTGAAAATGGAACATAAGCATTATGTTCTAGGTATTTCAATGATCACAGCTATACCCTATAGAAAGCACCTTAACGGAAAATGAAAAGCTGGTCTTTTACAATCAAAATATCCGTTGTACATCATCAAATAATGGAATTGTAAATGAACAAACTAAACCAGAAAATAAATCAAGACAACTATTTAAGGCTGTTCTGGTCCTGAGGATATTTTACATACTGTTTCTCATTAAAGAGGCACACGCACTAGCAAAACAAATATCTCAGTGCATGACTGAAGGAACAACCAGCTCGAGACTGCCAGAGAGCTCTTTTACTGTATAAGTAAGGCCAGCAGCATTAGCTTCGTCTTTCAAACAGACAGGGGGGCATGTCAACACCGGGGGACTGTAAACTCTGTCTGATTTGAGGACAGCTGATTAAATGGGTTGATGGTCTTACAACGAAAGTGTCTGTGAGGTATGGCAGTAGGGATTATCTTCAAAGGAGTTCATTAAGTATTCCTAAGCTTCTTGTGGAAAAGGCATTTGTATGGTTCTCCACTGCCAACCGTCTAATGGATGAGTATGGATTCATCTTATCCAAACAGATGTCCTTGTATGCAAATCCTTAAGAATGAACAGTATGTAATTTTATGCCCTTGAATATCCAGTTCCTGGTTGGAAACTGGTTGGAAACCAGTGGATCTGTCGACACGTTTATCCCCCCAAAAATGCGATAGATCCTACTCCACCGTATTGACAGCTTTGGTGTCAGTGATCAAAACCAGATTAGCAAACATCCTCCTTTAAAAAGCGAGAGGAAAACTTCTGAAGAGTCTCATTTGTAAAACATACTGGAAAAAGACAAGTGGTTCCACTTGTAGATGTTTGTACTGTTCTCTCCACTGTAGAGTTCAGTTCATCTGTCATAAGAAAGTCCTGACCGTACAGTAGAGTGATAGTGTTACGAGCATTGGTAGTGCTTTCCTCTCTGGGGCAAATCCAATCGCATGTGCAACTGCAAAATATAAATTGAAAAAAAAATCATTTTCAGGAGCTTAGACATAGCTGGAGCTTATAGACTTTTGACAGACAACAATAAATATGACTGACACACACAGAGCGCTTCGCTGAATGACAGAAAGCTGACGCTGGCTCCGCCGCACGTGCTTTTATAGCTTCCCGTTCATGACGTCATCCGCCGTGACGTACCACTCAGCTATTGGACTGATTTCACATGTGATTCAGAGCGTGGGTCACTGAAGGCGTTCCCCTAGTGTTCTCGACGCAGCTCGAGTTCCTGAAGAGGAACTATAACTACAAACAAGATTTTTACAGTTTCAAATAGGATGTGATAGGTATTCTGCTTCTCCTTCAATTTAAGCCTAAGAGATTTTCACTCGTTTTTATGTATTTTTTTAAAGGGGTCCTATTACACTTTTTCACTTTCTTAATTTTAGTCAGTGTGTAGTGTGTATGTTTGGGCATAAAAAAGATCTAGAAAGTTACAAATCTCAAAGTCCACTCCAAAGGGAGATATTTAGTTTTTAAAAAATCCATTTTCAAGAACTACAGCAAACGGCTCATTTGGACTACAGCGTTTGGTTTCCGGGCTTTGTGATATCACAAAGTGGCTCATTAGAATTTCATTACAAAGAATTCCCGCCTACAGAAATTCTAATGGTTGGGGGCTGGGGAGGGGCGAGGTCGTGGTCAGAACGCTTGGTTGAGTGAGCGCATCAGACGAGACAAAACGAAGAAGTGGTGCTGTTGCAGAGTTAGTGTGTCAGAGAAAACCAAGAAGAGCAGCTGTGCTGTAGCCTCAAATTTTCGGCATGTCTAGAACAGCGGTTCTCATTTCCAGTCCTCGCGTGCCCCCCTCTGCACATTTTGTATGTTTCTCTTATTGCTTCATACGTTTGCTATATTTGACTGTAAGTGCCCTGCGAAGTGGACATTACCGGATATTCCTCCATGATTCCAGTTTGAAGGGAGCGTATATGTTTCATACAAAGGGCATTTAAGTGTGCGAGACGTGAATTTAAATTGTATTTATTTACAGAGGTATATTATGTCCCACTTTCACTCATAGAAAATAATGTGTTCGAATTTTAAAGCCGTGGCGCAACGCTGCGTGTGCGACCGCCTGAAACGCTGTTTTTTTCACTTCTGAAAGCGGATGATGTCAGGAAACGGTGGTTGCAATTTACTTTTTAACTCTGTTCCTGAGCATTATAACCCCAATTTGCTATTGTGTGCTGCACATTTTACTGAGGACAGCTTCCACATCACGAGTGAGAAGTGCCGGATTCGCCAAAAGCTTTTGTTGAAAGACAGAGCAAGAGGCGGGGCAGCACTGAAACACCGTCTAGGCTGTTCGCCAATCACAACGCACTGGGACAGCTAACCAATCACATCACATTTTGTTTTTCGGAAGACGGACCTTCATCAAAGCCGGAACTAATCGAGCCGTTTGTGCCAGCCTGGGGAGAAAGGTATTTTAATAATGTAAATTATGTGAAAAAAAATGCGTTTTTCCAACCACGAAGCATGAGAGCATGTTCTAGTACACCCCCAAAACAAAATCAAGACTTTGTAAAAGAGCATAATAGGACCCCTTTAATTACCAAAAATTGCATTATTGACTTGATAGCCTAAAAAATTAACCACGAGTTCAGCATACTGAAGGATAATAGTTGTAAATTCCATAAGGGGGCCATAAATTCAGACCTGCTATCCTGGGGATGGTAATCTGTTTGCTGCTGCTCCCCTCTCCACCTTCACTGACTGGTTTAATCTGGATGATGTAATCCTCGTCCACAGGCAGAGAGAGCTCAAGAAATGTGCTGTTAGTCTCCACCACACTGGGCCGACTCTGTCTGCTTTGCTTGTACATGACCTTTAAAGCAACACAGCTCCTTTAAATCTCAGTTTAGATGTACAGTAACAGACGATAAACCGTTCAATTCATGGTGTGCATTATTCAATATACGGAACTGTAATCTGTCAACCAATCAGAATCAAACATTCAACAATGTTGCAGTATAAACATCAGATATGTTTATACCAGAGGCAGTGATGTTTGTATGTTCATACCTTATAGCCCATAACTTCAGACTCATTTTCCAGAGCCTTGACATGATCCCACTTGAGGATGAGTTTAGAGTCTGTAGCATTCCACATGACTTTCAATGGAGACTGACTCGGTGCTGGAGAAAATACATTTAAAGAGCTAAACGTCACATTTCAGAGGAGTTTAAAACTACTGTACTTCAACTTTCCTCAATAAGACTTTATACAATGTCAAAAACAAATGCAAAGTCTTTTGCAGATACTCTAACTTTTAAACTAATGATAAAATGGAAACAATAATATGGCTATGGTTATAGAAAATAACACACAGTGGCCAGGGACCATGTCACACTTACGGGGTCTCTTAGTGGTGACATTCACCACAGCACTATCAGGTCCAACACCAGCACTGTTGTAGGTTTTGAGTTTGATGTAATATGTACTGCTGGGGTCCAGTCCACGAATGACAGCAGACGTCCTGTTTCCCACAGTCCGCATCACACTGGCTGTGTCCGGTCTGTCCTTTGTACTCCAGTACCTCAGCTGAAATTCACAGTCAACTAGCTGTCATAATCAGCATCACAAAGTGTCGTTCATTGATTAAACTTTATGTGGTGCAGTAGTAAGCACACTGAGCTGTGTGAGTCATTGTGTGAATATATTTAAGTCAGTCTTGCCTACTGATATTCCGTTTCTAATAAAGCAAAAATCCCCCTACCACAAACAAAATATCTGACATTTCCCCCAATATATTAATTTTTATAGCATTGTTCATTGGTAGTTACTGCATCAAGAACATTAAAACTGGATGTGAGAATTGTTATAACAGCACAGGCAATACACGACGATGTAGAACAAACCCAGTCAGATTCATTAGCTTGCTTTAGTTGTGTTGTCCTCACCTCATAGCCCATTATGCGTGTCCTACTGGTGCTCCATGGTAAAGGCTTCCAGCTGACCTCCACTTCTGAGGCTGACAGGCTCTTGGCACGGACACGACTGGGAGCGCGACTCGGCTCTATGGTCAGAATAATCATTACTGTAATGGCTCATTATTATAGCACTGATGCACTAGCAAATATTTAGCACATTCAGTTTGCCCTAATCAAACAAAGCAACTCTGCAGCAACATAACATTCTGAGCATTTCATATACCTGTTTATACCTAAAGGTAATTTCTGCTCCACTGGCACTATCTTCGATTGTACGAACAAACAAACATCATTGATTGAGCCAGTAGACCTTAGGGTAGCACCAACAAAATAAATTTTTGAAAGGAATGAAAACAAGGCTATGAGGCATAGAAGTACAGTGTGTTCAGTAGAGTCTACTGTTTAACAACATACTGTAATGATTGGTTCATCTTTCCAAAAGACTTTCAATAGACAAAAACTCCATAGTTGTGAGTTGTAACAATTACTTGTGATATAGGACCTTTATACAATGCGTGGCATTGCAAAGACTTTAAGTCTATCCCTCACAGCCTCCTTTCCATCCGTGTAAAATTCAATATGTTGTCTAACCTGATTACGGTCTATGGTGCAATGGTTGGGCCACTCAAACCAAGAATAACATTTTCGGCTGTACCACAGACACAGAGTGTTTAAAGGGGACATCAGATGCCCATTTTCCACAAGTTGGTATTATTCTTTAGAGTCTTCATGAAATGTCTGCAATAACTTTGGTTAAAATTCCTCAATTGGCGTGTAAAGTCACCCTTTTTACCTTGTCAAAAGTACTTTCGGGTCGCAGTCTGAAAATAACGAACTAGCTGCGTGTTTTCTTTTCAGCTTTTCTGAGCTGGCAGATACTCCAGAAAAGTGAAAAAAAGTGAAAATTTCATCTGGTATCCCCTTTAAACATTTTGAGGGATTGAACTTGTGCAGGGCTCATTTATAGTTGTCTTTGCATATTAAATTAAGATTGGTAAATTGGTTTACCCTCTTCTGCTGAGTATATAGTGGTCACAGGTCCAAAAGGACCTTCGCCTTTGTTGTTGTAAACTCCCACTTTCACGTGAAATGGAGAGAATGGAGGGATGCTCTCGTTTTTGAAGATGTATCGGGATGCATCAGGAGACGTCACGGCCGCCTGCATCCAGCTTTGACCACCAAGAGGGCGAAAAGCAACCACATAGCCGAACCCTGGACCGCACTGTAGCTCTTCTGGGACTGGCTGGAAAGCCCCACAAGTACCCACAGACACAACACAGAAAAGGGTGACAGAACGAGCAAGGGAAAGACTGATTTATCATTATATCACAGCAGTGTTATACAAGAGGCTTTGTCTCAGTAGACTATGGAAATCCCTTTCACGGTCCTTGAACATATTTTTTGCTTTTCACATTTTGAAACATATTTGCTAAAATCCATAAACATTTTGTCTGCCTCACTGAAGAGTATCTGCCCTTTTTTTAAAAAAAAGGGCTGTTTAAATCACAGACCAAACAATCTGCCAGCATGATGGGCCTGTTTTTGATACAGGCCAGTGGGCGGTCCACCATTGACAGCTACCTTTGAGCACTTAAATGGGCAACGAGAGCTTGCTTTGTTACCTCCCAAGTGATGACAAGCTCAGAGCGACTGCCACCTCCTCCACTGACTCTGGCTGGGGTCGTCCTTGGCACTGCAGCATTAAAAGAAGAAGACTTTTTCAGGCAGTTTTATAAGATGAGAAACCCCAGAAGTGCAGACAGGGCATTTTTCCATCTGTTTAGCATGATACCACAGAGACAGCTTTGTGGCTGCTTCTTGGTTCTGAGTGAAAAAGTTTAATATACAGTATGGTTGGAAGAGAACTCTAATCAAATCTCGTAGAAGTGCCTTGTTTTATTTGAACAAACCGGTTAACCTTCCCAAAACTTATGAAGTCCCCAGTATACTCACAGCAAAGTTATTTTTTTTGTTTCAGCACTCCAGTCACGTCACATCACATTTAGTTATATAGCACTTTATACAATAGATTGCTTTGAAGCAAGCAGATTTACAATATTAAACATGGAAAAAATTAAACAACTTCAATTTCTACTATAAAGCAGCTTTCCAGTTTAATGTTTTACTTGCGTCTGACCTTGAGGCATTTATGCATTTAATGTGTAATAAGTGCCTAGGGTTAGGGTAATCACAGTAAACATGTAACTATATACATACACGTGTCCTGGGTTTTGATTTTTTGTGAGGGTTTGCTGGGTTCCCCGGTGCCTATGGAATTAGTGGCTAGCACTCTGAACTCATATTCAACCCATGGACTCAACTCAACCACACGGGCTGTCAACTGTTGCCCTCCCAGAGACGCTGGCACTGAGAAAAGAAGAGATATTTGAATGTATTGAAAATATATATTTCCAGAAACCTGAAACATAATAATCACTTGGAAAATGAGCTAGAGACTGGAGAGACAGGGTCTGGCCCAATATGCAGCTTTTTTTTGGCCAAGAACCACACATGGACCAGATGTGACCAAGTGATTGGCATTAAAAGCAACCAACAACTTTTTGTTTTTACCTGCTCATACCCTTGTGAAAAAGAACTGCACTTACAGTAATCACACTGAATGCACACTTTTAGTGAACTTCTAATCTTAAATGTATATTTAACTGTACTTGCAGGTAATATAATTTTAATGAAATAAAAGACCACTTCAATGTACTTAAAGAGAGTACATTTTCATGACTATGTAAGTGCACTTTGTAATAATATCAAATTAAAAGGTAATTTTTTTGTGCTTAAAAAGGAACACTTATTTTGATGTAATGACTAACATATTAATGCAAAGTACTTGATTATAATTTTAAATTAATTTATTTTACATGTAATAATTTGCAACTTCATCATTATTTTATTGATTAATTATATTTTAAAGACAACAGAATTATTAAATGACATATAAAGTACTGGAGTCCTACTTACATGGGTCAAAAGTTCAGCTAATTGCATTTAATAAAAACCTAAACTAAATTTAGTATCAATTTAAGTGATACATTTTCATTTAATTGCAATTAACAAGCAGTTAACTATCCGAACACTCTCTCCCACTGTAACATCCAGCTGGGTGGCTTTAGAAGTGATGATGGTTGGCTCTGAATATAAGAATAAGGTTATCAGTAACTAATACATTTATAACTGTACATTACTAGTCATCAGTAGATTGGTGCATAAAACAGCACTTGTATATAACCTGCCATTCAAGACTTTTTTACAGAACACTGTCAAGACCTCCTGCTTTTATCTTAGAAATATTGCACATTTACGGCCCATGCTGTCCTTTCCTGGTGCTGAAAGGCTGATTAACTCTTTTGTTTTCTCACATATTGACTACTGTAATGCTCTCCTTGCTGGAGTTTGTAAATCCCCCCTCTAACAGACCACAATATCTGCAAAATTTGGCAACTTGAATCCTATCTGGGGCCAGGGTTTGTGACCATATAACCCTTATTTTGGAGTCATAACTCTCTGTCAGGTACCGTATAGATTTATAAATCCTTGTTTATGTGCATTATTTGACTCCACATTGTTTGGCTGAACAGGATTGCTTTTACTTGATTATATTAACTATATTATATTATAGTAACTATTTTGCTATTTAATTATTCTGTGTTTTAATTCCTAGTCGTCATTGTTGTTTTTCTTGTATTTAAAATGCATTCTTTTACATTGTCCTTGCTTTTGTTGTAAAATGCTTTTAACTTTTAAAGGTCCTATACAAAATAAATGTATTATATTATTATTAACATTACTGTATTACATTTGAGCTGAGGCAAGAAGTGCATTGAGTAGTACACTTCTATCACCACTAGATGCCACTATGCTGTTAGATTTTCATCTGAAACAAGTCTTGTGAAAGCAAATTCTCAATTCCCCCTAAAAATATCTATCCATCCCTCCCTCCCTCCCTTCAAAATATAACGTAATTGTCAGCCACAAAAAAAAAAACAAGAAAAAAAAAACAAGAAAATATTTGCTATATAATCACATCTGTTTGATATTCCTCAGATGAAGTTGATATAGGGGATGTCAGAGAAAAGGGTCAAGATGACAAAAACGTGCAATAGTGAATATTAATAAAATAGCTGGTTCAGCTTTAATTTACGGGATGAATCATTACTGATTAGTAATCACTGGATTACCGTGTGCTGAATTATTCATGCTTTATCATGCATTTCTTGCAGAGATGTCTCTTTAATATGGCAAACACGTGACTTTTGCTGGAGCAATTTTATTTAAACTGTTTGCAAATTAACATGTCAAATGAACATGTATTCAGGCTTTCATGTGAAAATGAGAACAGGAGAAGAAACCAGAGAGTTTCTATAGAAACCAGTTTTAAAAACAAGAAGGACCACCAAACCGCTGCTCTAATAGAGCGCTGGGATTGTTCACGCCGCCTTGTCAAACGGGTGAAGAATTCACAGAGTTGCAAAAAAGGCTGTTTTAGATGGATTTAAGCCCTAATGAAACACAGCACGGTTATTTCCACACATATCATGCATCTCTAATGCTTGGCAAATAAATCAATTCCCCATTAACCACAAGCACAGTTCATCTAGAGAGTGTGGAGATAAGGAGCTTGTGCTTTACTCTTACACTGGTAAAGACTGTAGATCGATAGTAAATAGTTATTTATATTTAAATGTATATAGTTGTTTATATCATACAAAATATTGTTTTGCAACACATATTACAGTACACAGTATTCAAAAATTTGTGATCTGTACTTTTTTAGTCTCACCAAGGCTGAATTTATTTGATCAAAGATACAGTAAAAACAGTAATATTGAGAAATATTCTTTAAACAACTTTTCTATTTGAATACATATTAAAATGTAATTTATTCCTGTGATGCAAAGCTGAATTTTCAGCATCATTACATCATTAGTGTCACAAGATCCTTCAAAATCATTATAATATGCTGATTTGCAGCTCAACATTTCTTATTCTTATCAATGCTGCGGCTTAATATTTTCGTGGAAATTGTGATATTTAGTTTTACAACTCTTTGATGAATACACAATTCAAAAGAAAAGCATTTATTTGAAATAGAAATGTTTTGTAACATTATAAATGTCTTTACGATCACTTTTGATGACTTTTATGCGTCATCGACTGGATAAAAGTAGAAATTTCTTTACACATTTTATTTTATTAATATATTTTATTTTTTAATTTTATTAATATATTTAACACAAATGTATTTTTATAATGAAACCATGTTGTCATCATCGTGTTACATGCATGCATATGTACAGAATTGTCCAAGAGTAATGCATGTACTAAATACTAAAATGTCCCAGCATACCTTTCACCACCAGTGTGCCTGCACTGCTTGCCACTCCAAACTGGTTTCTCGCCACACAGGTGTAAAGACCTGCATCTAGTTTGGTGATGTTGGATATCCGGAGACTGCCATTATCCAGAACGGAGACTCTAGACAATAAAGTGACATGATGAAAGCCTTGCAAAACCATTCATCCAGATAAACAAGCTTTAAAACCAATTATATTACATCGAAGATCAATGAACTTTAGTCTGGCCACAGAGATCAATAGGCAATAGTACTAAAATAACAACACACCATTAAGTAATTATAAAGAACACAATCAGATTATTATAAATCTACATTTTTATATGATAACATAATCTGTAGTTAAATACTGTGTTTTTATGTATATTTAATTATTGTATTTCAGATTATTGGACATTTGGTGTCTTTTATATTCATGTGAAAAAAAAAATGTAAAAGCCAAACACACGAAAATGAAACCCTTCTCTGAACTCTTCCTTGCTGCTAAACCAGCTCTGATATATTCACTTTCGACAGATGATAAAAGCTCTCTATTTAAAGTTTTTTTTTTCCTGTAGTTTCTTCTGCAACTATATTACTAGCAAGCCTTTCCACATCATAAAACAACAACATTCTGGCCATGGTTTCTGCTGAACAGTTCAGCCAAAAATAAAATGTTCTGTCATTATTTAATAACCTTCTTGTCTTCCAAACCCATTAAGGCCGGGACACACCAAGCCGACTTCAAAGAACAAGCGGCGATGAAAGCCGACAGCGTTGTCGCCTCACTTCAGTATCGTCGGACCAAAAAGCTGCGCTCGAACACACTGCACAGACTACAGCCGACGGCAAATTAACAGGTGCGTTCTGCGCATGCGTGACTGTCTATATCAGCAGCTATCAATAGTATATATTCGTCATTCAAAAGGAGAAACCGAAACAAAGATATACAAAGATATACGAAACGAAACTATGAGCATGCTATGTATATGTATATATTGAAGCAGAATTTCTTTTGGTGGGGCTATATGAGACTGTTGATTAAGTAAAGACAGCATATTGTGTCCAAAATTAAATTTTAAGCTTAAAAAATACATTTTCATGTTCCCCTACAAGTGCAGAAGAAAAAGAGAAAGCTGTATTCTGCTTTTATTAATTGTAGTGCAGGGGCCAAAGCAATGAAAAATGTTGAAGAGCAGAGCGCGGGATGTGCTTCATTTACACCACGACCTTTCAGTATGCAGTGGTCTTCATCACAGCAGAGATGAGAAGAGAAAAAAATCTGCTCCCACCACCAAGGCAAACAGCCCTTTTTTATGGACATGCCAATGTTTGCAAGAATTTAGTAAGTGGAATTTTTAGAAATGAAGGCATGTTGATATGAGAGCTTTCAGCAGGCACGTCATCCTCATGTCTTGTGGGGTTATCGTCAATGGTTTTACTCTAGCTGAGGCCAAATTTACACTTCTATCGAGCGGATGATAGTGGGTGGGGTGGGGGAATAAGTCAAAGAGAACACATTCAGTAGAACTTGCTTTGCCTAACGGCAAAGTGTACACAAAAGTGGTTTTATTATGTGCCCTAATGAACACCATTACATTGGAGTTTTGTGGCTTTTCGTTTACTTCTGTTAGCATACATGTGCCAATTATATATATACAGTATATATATATATATATATATATATATATATATATATATATATATTTAAAAGTTGTCTAAATTATCTTTAGGAGATATACACATTTAAAATTTACATTCTATCTCTTCTGGAAAAAAAATATTGACAATATTGACTCATCTTACACTCGTTGGCATTTCCAAATTTTTGTCCAATCAAATGTTCTCTAGAATGAAACTGTCTCGAGTGGACCCTTTTCACAGACTGTGATAATGGATTTCCACAGCTAATAACATTGTAAATCTTGTTTTTATTTTTCATTTGAAAAAATTGCAATGTGCATTTATAACACTATACTGTGTTTTCTTACCTTGCCATTAAAGGCAGGGTAGGTGATTTGGTTCAAAAACATGTTTTGTTAAGCTGGTTGAAAGTCTCTTCACATCCCAATAACAATCACTAAGTCAAGTGGTCTAAATTTATTTATAAGTATTTATATCATCTGTGGAAGCGTAGGACCATAAAATGTTCGTCCAATATCCCTCGGTCTGAGGGCTACGATAGGCTGTTCTACCTGCATACCTCCACACAGCCTGTTTGCGCAGATGTGATACGTCATCAGTGCGTTCCATCAAGCTATTGCAGACCGAGCGAGAATGGAAGGCGTTATTATTGTAATATTATGCGCTTTGTATTGTATTTTTTTCTCACCGGTGAATGAGTTGAATTCAACCCTCCACAAACGTTGTCTTTCATCGTGTCGCTGGTTAGACGCTGGTTAGCCGCTGGTCTGCCTGTGTGCATTCATGTGTTTTGGAGGAGGAGTGGCTTTGGAGAGTGATTTGCATAGAGGGAGGGATCTATGCTTTCAAACAGTAGCGGTTTTTGGCACTGGCGAACCGGGCAGCCGCCCGGGGCGGCATTCTTTCATGATACATGGAGGGCGGCACGAGCAGTTAAAAAAAAAAAAAATGTTTAGATAGAGCAATACTCTAATGGAATTAGTGGGCTAAAGTCAGTCAAACCTCGACTTTCTTCCAAATAACGCACATTTCATTCATAATATTATAAATACAGGCCTATAGTTCCTGCACATTTTTGTTTTTCTGAATTGTATGAAATGGCTAATAAAAATAGGTAATACAAAACGATTATGGTCACCAAGGTGAATTGGTTTAGTCTTGACTTCTGGTCGTGAGTGACAGTGTTGGGGGGAGGAGAAATCTGTTGATTGTCGAGTGCCAAATAAACACAGAGATGGACAGGAAAAGGTCAAAGCCATCAGGTGCCCAATTTAGAAAAAAAGAAAAGAAGAAGAGGAGAAACGAGCAGAAGATAAAGGTATGCAACTATGTTCTATCTGTATGATTATTACGGTATCCATGTCATGAATGAAGGGCTAATGTTAATTGGTGGGTATAACTCTTAAGTTTGTAAGCCTTTTTGCTATGATGCTTGCTATGCTTATACAACAATAATTCGGTTTTAACTCAACAAACACGAGATCTAATTTCACCATAATATTGTGCTTTGCAACAAAACTGTTACAAGTTCAGTTATTATTTATTTCCATCAGTTGGATTAACGTTAGGCCCTGTAATTAGCCAACGGAATTTTCAAATCTGTGTAATTATAATTTAAATCGGACTACTTTTCAAATTGTATTTCATAAACCAACATCTCAGAATTTATGTCAAAACGTTATGGGGTTTCAAATCAAAAAATGACTTTCTGTTACAGAACAGGGCATTGATTTCATACATGTCCACTGTAGAGGACATCAGGACTTAAATCATGTTTATCAGGCATTTTGGGAGACACAACAAGTGAATATGTAAATAAATTATCCATCAATATTCTTATGAAATATTAGATATTATTAATAAAATGTTGCCAATTATTACTCCAATTATTACACTTCTTTTTTCATTAAATGTTGGTCAGGTTTTAGTTTTAGTTTGTGTTTTCTGTTCCCTTTCAGTCGGTCACTCTCGATGTCACGTCGGAGGACCGACGAATTGGGATCTCGCTTATAGGGACCAATCTACTTTGAGTGTAAACTAAACGAGCCAATGCACATTGGCATGCGATTATTGCATCCAGCTGCTGCTGATCACAGCGTGAGTATAAGTAGGCAGCAGATGCAGCGCATATTCAGCTTTTCGCTTCGGAGCCAAGCGATCACATCGTTCTGCTCCTGACTACTCTACTGAGAGAAGAAGACTGAACGAGTTCAGAGCGCTCTTGGAGAGCTCTTCGTGTTGGCGGTATGGCGCTTCAGCGGTGGTGGTTTCCCGTGTCGAGTGGGTTGCACACATCAGGCTGCACTACCCCCTGTTTGTGTTGCAGATGATCAGCTCCCCTGTGTGCCTCAGCACGCTAAAAGAGCTTTTTACCCTAAAAGAGCAATTTC